GGCCGGGTACGGGCGGCCTCCGCGGGTATCCGGCGCTTTGAAATAATGCAAGACAATCGACTTATTTCTGTCGCGCTTTCACAACAGCTGCAGCTGATGTCATGGCAGGTCTCAAATCGAGGTCACCTATCCAGTTTTAGATATTGCAGCAGAAAAAAAAAAACAAAAACATAAAAGACATCCAAAATAGAGTACACACTTGTTACATACCTTGGTTCAGATTTGGTCAGGTCAGGAAATGGACAAAAAGAACGGCCAGACTGACATTTAATAGCATCACCAGAGCAACCAAGATCGAGTCGGGACCCTGGAGAGAAATTGACATTTGACTTGATGACAACGGAATGCAACGTCTGCCTTCATTATTCACAATGACGCTCTTCATATGGTTGGATGTTTAACATTTTGCGCGTTGCCTTCCCATGCACTCCTTCCCAAAACACGGTCGCGATGCCGTTGCCGGCATTCCCCCAAATTCTCGGAGCAATGGATTTCATTTGGGGCAAATCCTGGTTTCTCTCTTCCAAAATCCTTTTGCGCTCGCGGTGCGCGTCCAAATTCTCAAAGGTTGAAACCACGGAAGCCAGCGAAGGCTCCTTGGCCTCTGCGCGTGCTCAACGGTGAGAGAGATTTCAAGACAGATTTGTCCGGAGCAAATCCCTTCGGGGCAAGCATTTGGCGGCCACCGGTTGAGGTTTTCCATCGCTCGCGTCACGCTAAACACTTACCGACTCCGCCCGGACCATTTCGGGACCGATTTCCACACTCGCTTTCTTGGTTTCCGCAAAACTCTTTGGCTTGTTGGAGTCTGCCGCTTTTGGCCCAGAGGACTCCGCTGGAGCTTTGGCGTTCTCTTTTGGCGGGAGCGGCGAAGGGCCGGCGACGGCCGAGACTTTTGGAGCCGGTGCCCACGCCGGCTTGGCGGGGGGTGGCAAGCGCGCGAGGCTCGACGGGTGAAAATCATCGCCTGCGTCAAGCGGTTCTTCGGGCGGCAGGGTCTTGACATCCTTGACATAGTAACCGTGGTATTGGCAGTGGATTTGTCCGTTGGGAGCGGAACGGCTATTTGGCACGGGGGCCTGAACAGAGCAAGATTCCGCACGTTGCCTCGCTTCCTGCCCGAGAGAGAGATTCCATGCTGCCTTTGCAATGCCTGGTTCACAAAAAAAAAAAAAAAGAAGAGGAAAGTCACATGTGTCCTGGATGGGCCGAACCAGAAACAAATGGCCGACAAACCAAGTCAGCGAGCTATTTATTTACCGTATTGGCCCGGATATAAGACGGTGTTTTTTGCATTGAAATAAGACTGAAAAAGTGGGGGTCGTCTTATATTCGGGGTCTAGACATTATACCCATTCACGACGCTAGATGGCGCCAGATACCATTGAGGCGAATGCTGAACTTGACTTCCCAGGCCAAAGCGAAGCCCTGTCACGAAGAATAAAAATAAAAATAGCGGTCGCACGAAGAAGAAAAATAAAAAATAGCGGTAAGAAAGAAAAGTGAAGAAAATAATAGAAGAGATAACAGAAAATGGAGAAACGTAGCGACAATCTGGAGAAAAGTGGGTCGAAGATCGGCCAGGTTAACCGGCAGCTGAGGAGAAGTTATGATGTAATTTACATTTCAAAAAACAGAAGCTATTCAGTTATGAATGTGATTGCACTTTAGTTTACATATTTAAATCTTCAGATATTAAGATTTGAATGAGGCAAAATAACATGCTTTTTTTCTCAAATATATTGTTATAATCATTTGTTTCAGATGTACTGAAATTATTTTCTGTATGAAAATTAATTTGGTGTTCAAAAAGTCTTTTTTCAAACTTGAGTCTTGAAAAAGAGGGGGTCGTCTTATAATCAGGGCCGTCTTATAGTCGGGCCAAGACGGTATTCATTTGTTTTATGACGTCGACTTCCCGGCCTGTATTTTTGTAAGCAGAACAAGTCTCGTGCTCTCCGTTGACCTTTTGTTTGAGAAACGCTACAAAGCATGTGAGAACGGGAAGGGCCGGCGTTTTGGCCGGAGTTTGTCCCGGCTTTGCTTGCTTGTGCCGCCCACACATGTGCACGTAAAAAAAAAAAACACAAACCAAAAACAACTTTCAACAGAGTCACGCCAAGCACGTGTGCTTTTATGTTGAGTTGCCAAAGACAGCGACTCCCAGCCTGTTGGGCGAAAAAAAAAAAAAACAATGCCAAAACCGCTACCTTGATTGAAGGGTTCCGCCGTTGAGGTTTTGCCGCCTTTCCCAGGAGGCTTTGACGGCCCGCCGGCGCCGAAGCCCGTCGCCGTCGTCTTCATGCCGGTTGGTGAGGCACTGGGGCTGGGGGCCGGGCTCTGGCGAGGAGAATGCGTTGGGGTCGTGCCTTTGCGATAGAAATGAGGGCTACTCGGCGGCGTTTTTTGCAGCTGACACTCCTCGAGGACGTCCTTCGCCTCCGCCGCCACGATGGATTTCTGCCGGATGTAGTCCGGGCCTGGAAAACGGGACCCAGGACGACATCGTACAAGCTATCCCAAATAGAAGCCCGTTTTAGGTTTTATGCTGTGCAAATCTGGACAAATACGTGCTGAGGGCATGTACACACACACACACACACACACACACACACACACACACACACACACACACACAAGATGGAGAGGTCGACAGAGAAAACAACACGTCTAGTCAAGCAAACACATGGATCAAGAAAAGCCAGCGAGTGCGTTGGCGATGCGCAGGGGGAAAAAGCCTCTCGTCTTTCGCCATGCAACGCCGGCGCCAATGCCGTCGCTACCTGGCTGGTGGAAACTCGGCGAGAGATCTCTGGCCAGGGCTCTGGCGATATCAGAGTCTCGGCTCGCCGATTGCGCGGCCCGATCCGCCGCCTCCGCTTTGGCCCGAGTGTGAGACGTCCTGGAAAAATCCAAAAGGACAGACGGTGAGGCCATTCCGCCGGACATCTTTTGCAAATTGCGCGCCCCAAATCATCCCTTCGCAAAACGCGCTCGACGTTCAAACTCTCGTCGACGGTGACGGCGAGGGCCGCCGCCGCCGGCGACTCCCTCTGCGGTCAACCTCGCGCGATAAATTGTGATCGCGAGGAGGCGCAACGGTCGCGCTTGGTATCGGCGGAGATGCGAGCGTACCTGGAGATGGCGATCTCCACTTTGGTTCGGGCGACGGCAGCGGCTCTGGCCGCTCCTTCCATGGCGCGGTCCACCTTCCGTTTGGTCTTGGCGTCCTTCAGGGGGATGAATTGCTTGCGGATCCCTCGGGCCAGGACGTTGTTTTTGTACTTGCCTTCTTCTGCAGCGCCGCCGGGAAAGACGGTGGCGCCGTAGCCGTGGCGCTTGTTGTTCAACCATTCGCCTTGATACTTCAGGCCGTCGGAGCGCTCGGAGACGCCCAAGCCGTTGCGCTTGTCGTTCTTCCACTCGCCCGCGTACGACTCGGTGACGGCGGCGTCCACGTCGTCCTCCGGGGTCCAGTCATCCTCGGCCGGGTCGCCGTCTCCAAAGCTGCCGGTGGAATTGCCGTCGCTCGAGCTGATCCCGCTCAGGGCGGTTTCGCTCGGCGCCGAGCTGCGCTTGCTGGAGACGGAGGAGCGGGACTCCGATTTGCGCAATCGCTGCAGGCTGCCAAAAAGAGAGCCGCGGCGGAAGAGACCTCGCTTTTTCTCGCCGGCTTCTCCGTCCGAAGGGAAGTTGAGCACGAAGCCGCCGCGCGTGCCGGCAGGGCCGTCGGACGCGGCGCCCGCTAAAAGCGCGCCGTTGCTCCCCTCGCTACGCAGGGAGCCCAGCGAGGTTCGAAGCGGGGAGCGGATGAGCGAAGCCACGCCGTACGGGACACTCTGACGCACGCCGTAGCCGTGGCGCATCCCGCCGCTCCACTGACCTTGATATGTTCCTGCGGCGACGACAGAGACACGAAAGCACAAGGTAAAGAAACAAAACACGTCACGGAGAAACGCCGGCAGTGTGGCAAATTGGGCGGAATTTGCAGGAAGCGTGCGGCCTCGAAGAAAGTCACGAGAAATAAAGTCCCCAAAAGCTCAAACGGGCTTCATTTCGTACAGCGGGACCATGAAGACGACTCAGACGCAGCGGCAAGGCGCAGAATTCTCGTCTTCTGATGTGGTCCCGAGAGAAACGGTGAAATCGTCTGCCCGTCGATTAGCGGCTAAGCGGCTGGAAACGCACACCCAGCAAATGACCTTTGAACTCTCACGTGCAATTCAACAGGTGGCGAAGAAATGAGCTCGGCCACAAAAGCGCACCGGTCTCACAGTGCGTTTTCCTGAGACGTCAGTCAAACTTGACGAGAATCGAGAAATAACCTTTCCCGCAGAAGGGCCTCGGAGAGCTTTGGCCTCGGACCTCGGCCCCGTCGGCGTGAGCTGGAGAATGTGAAAAGGTGCTATTTTAAAAGATGGAAAGTAACTCGAGTCACTCGCAAGTCTTTGGGCTGGCCAAAGATATCTCGGCGCAGCAATCTTGTTCAAGGGACTGCGCGACCCGGCGACTGACTGGCGGAGCTCGAACGATTCGCCATCGGGTTAACGTCAAACGTGTACATGAGCAAGAAATACTCGACCTGTCGGGTTATCGGATGGAGGTCAGCCAACGACGAAGCTCAAAGCGTATGGTGCCAAGCATCAGCTGTTCTCCACACACGGCCTAGAAATGAAAGCGGTGGCTGCCCGGCTCGGTTCTAATCGGGAGGCGGTCGTGGATTCAATCAGAAATAATCCAAGATATTGCAAACCCAGTTGCCCCCGACGCCGCGTCAGCAGCTGGTAAAGGAGGCAACAATATTCCCTCGTCGCTCGACGGGCACGATGCTGTCCAAGTAAAAGGCCTTGGACTCCTTTTCCAGGTTTTTCGGACACGTTTGAACACCTCAAGTGATCCCGCAAGTCTTCCCGAGTGTCCTCGTATGGGAAATGGCGCGAATCATTTCGTTTTCCCGTTCAGTGAATTTCCCCGCGCACGCTCGGGAACGCTTTCTCCGGATCGTATGCGAGCCGTCCGCCTCGACCCGGGATCGCACGCGGAGTTACCTCCGTCGGAGTAGGTCTCGACGCCGTAGCCGTCCTGCAGCCCGTTGCTCCAGGTGCCCTCGTACCTGGCCGGCGTACTCAGGCTCTGGCGGACGCCGTAGCGCCCCTTGAGGCCGCGCGTCCACTCCCCCCGGTACAGCCACTTGCCCTTGGTCTCCGCGCCGAGTCCGTGGCGTTTGCCCTGCGCCCAGTCGCCTCGGTACACGTTGCCGCTGGGCCAGGTGTACACGCCGACCGCCTCGAAGCCGCCGGACCACGAGCCCGAATATTCGCCCCGGCCCTCGGATCCGGTGCACACGCCCTGGCCGTGAGCTTTGCCGTCCTCCCAGCCTCCGCAGTAGGTGCCCCCATCGTCGAAGTCGAAGCGGCCGCCCGTCATTCGGAAACAGAGTCCCAAGTGGAGCGCGCGCTCCCGCAACTTACTTCGGCGCTCGAACTCTCAGTGGGGGCGGCGGGGGAGGGGGAGGGGGAACGCCGACGCGGGGCGGCCGGGGGCATCGGCGGCAACGGGACGTGGCACTGTGACGGGCGGCGCGCCGACGGCGAGCGTCACTCCGCCGTTGAGAGACGGGACCGGATGGTCCAGCCGCTTGGGAGGCGAGCGCCTCGAGCGCGACGCTCTCCGAAGGGTGATGGCATGAGTTTCCTTTGCGGCTTTTCAAAATAAAACGGGCGTCGACCGCTGACTGAAGGTTTCACCAAATCCTATCGATACCGAGGCGTTTTCCAAGAGAGGGTTGGGACCCGGGGGGGCGCAATAAAACAGAAGCTTTACACGCTTTGTTGCTGTCGGCCCAAAGAGATTTTGTTATTCAAGCGCCCGGAGTTTCTATTGCAAATGTGTGGACGGGGGATTTTAATGTTGAACTTGCTCAGACTCGTCCTGCTCTAGTCGAGGGTCGTTAACTTTGCGGGAGTTTTTTTTTTCTAAATTTAGAGACAGCGACACCTGTTGTTGCTGTTGAAACGCCACATGTATAGCCAGCCGCCAGTGAATCGTCGTTTCTTTTAAGGTGGAAACGTTTCAGTCAACGTCTCCCAATGGCAAGGACAAGATATTTGAGTAAGCGATTCGAACTCACCAGAAAGGAAAGTCGCAGCTTGAAAAGAAAAAAAGGAGAAATTAGGCACTTTTTGGAAAAGAAGGGGGGATAAAGGTCGCTAAAGTCTAGCAACCAAGTGGGAAGTCAACTGACTGCATTTAGCCCATAGGTGTCCAAATCGGAGGGCCACTATCCCGCATGATTGAGATGTTTCTTTCCATCCTTCCACACACCTTGGCTGCTGGGCTGAACTTGGTCGCGCTGCTTACTTGGGGAAAGAGATTGAAGATTGAACGAACTCATCCGGATTGGACGCGTGTGTGACCCTTCAAGCCATTGTATGGGTGCAAACACTTACGAGCGCAGTGAGAAGGAAATTCGACCGGATCATTCTCGGTGTACCGCAAATCTTCCGTCGGAAAAGGAAAGACGCGTGTATCGTTCGGCTATGATTCGGACCGTAGCAGGTGGATGTTTTCCAGCTTTTTGTTTAACTTTAAGCATCGATTTTGGAGAGCAGATTCAACACACACAAACGGAAGACTTGGGTGTCTATATTTCGGGGGAACGTAAAACGGATAACATTTTGAGAGATTTAAAAAAGAATCATTTGAAGTTATTTGCTCCCGGCTTGGTCCAATTCAATCGAAAGTGAAGTGTCGCGTGCCCGCCTCTGCGGGGCTGCTGGCTTCGCTCACCTCGCTTGAAATCTGCCGCGCCTTCGAGTTGTGCTCTTGCATCTGAAACACACGATGGCGCCAATTAGCTAGCTGGCGCTCAAACGCAAAGGCGGCGTGTGGAAAAATGGAGGGAGGGGGGTCAGCGAAGCCAGCAGACGACTCACGTGTACAACCGGCACCCCTTTCAAAGCTGTCGCGTGCTTCCAAATGCGCTCAAAACGTGTCGACGTTTTGAACCGCTCGACTTGGAAGGGCCAGTCAGAGATGTCATCAAATATGAAGGCACAAAGGGCCCAAATGAGCAAATGGCTGGTACACAATCAAAATGTATTTCTCATGAGACAAAACGACAACAAATATTCAAAAACATGGACACATACAAAATAAATGATAAAATGCTGCGACCCGCCGGTGGGAGCCCCACCGGGGCTGCCCCAGTGCCTGTCTCTGCTTCCACAGCAAGCTCCAGGTTGGGAGCTGTCAGGGGTTCCAACGCGAAGAGGCCCCAGGGAAGACGCAGCCCATGCTGGACACGCGCACGCACGACCGCACGCACAGCGGGCCTCCGAGCAGGCCGTCCAATGCCTCCCGTGCGGATGAGTGAAAGAAGAGGCCGTGGACGGGTACGTTTCTGCCCAAGCTGCCGCCCCGCCCCCACGACCTGACCCAAAGACGGACAAGCGGAAGGAAAAGGTCAGAAGGATCATTTCAAATTTCTCAACAGGTCGTGAACCCAAGTGAGGCCCCAAAAAAGAATGCCAGACAAAAGAGAGATCTGTTTTCAAATGTTGCTTTTGTCTCTTTGAAGAATTGGCATGTTTGGCCAGTCTGCTTTCATCTTGCAATCCAAAACCAAACGGAGCAGGGGTTCCGTGATCGCGTGGCGACCTTTCAACCGGGATGCGACCAGTCAGTCACCTGAAACAGGACGTTGTCTGCAAAACAGATGGATGGGCGCCAAACGAAAAAAAAGAAAAAAAACGATTGCCAATCATGACACTGTGAGAACCCATTTCCCGCAGGCTTTTTCGACAACAAATTACGGTTTGCGCACTGTAGAAGATAAAGCGAAACGCTAATAACAACGCGTTAGCAGATTTTTATCCAAAAGATTGACTGAGCTGGTGGGAAGTTGGATTTGCCTTGATGATGATCTTCCCGTCAAGACAAATTGGAACTGATACACGAGACGGACCATTGGATTTGCAACGACTTGATTAAAGAGAACGGAGAAATTCAAGAGGCGCACACCAAGATTCATTTTTGTGCGATTCATTCTGGAGTGTCCGATTACAGCCCAGCGGCGAGAGAGGAGACGTTCTCTCAAATGACTTTTCATTGTCTTCCAGCCAAGCATCGCCGGCAGATGAAGGAGAATAAAAAGATTAGTGAGGCGGGATTAGATTTGCAGATACTGCAGGTGCCACGGCAAAACAAAGCTCGACCGACTGCTCGCTCGCTCGCTCGCTCGACTTTTTGGAGTCTTTTCTTCTTGTGACAAGAAGACAACTTTGCTCCCACGGGATCCCAAAAACAATTGATTTTTAACCTCGGCACCTTCACTTCACTTTGACTGGCGTCCCGATTAATTAGCAGCACCATTTAATAGTACACTATATATATATATATATATATATATATATACATAAAATATTTATTTATTTATTTTGTGTGTGTGTGTGTGTGTGTGTGTGTGTGTGTGCGTGCGCGCGCGCGTGTGCATCGTGTGCGAGTGCCTGTACGCGTGTTTGCGTGCATGCGTGCGATAACGGCTTCTGGTGTCACAGCATAATAAGTCAACAATGTTTTTTATTAAACCGTGACAGCAACGTATAATTACCTTCATGCAGATAACATGTTTGCTCGGTCAATGTCCTGAATAGATATACAGAATTAGCTTATCTCGCGTCAGAAATGTACGTGTCGCTGAGCTCCCACAGCAAAGAGGCAAGGTGTGTTTTGGTCCCATTCCTGAATCTCTTGACAGTAATTTTGGACTCAAGGAAAAATTTTGAAGGCATGTAGTCGACATACATTTGATGATTGGTGAATAGAATAAACAAGGGAAGTTCTGTGCTAGTGCTTCAGGGCTGCGCTGACAATTAGCACGGCCATCTGTGAGTCAGAGGGTGGCGCACGCACAGCCCCATGTCTTGTCCCTGCCTTCAGCGATGAAAGTACAGCTTTTTCATTTTCTCAAACTCAGGGTTGTGCATTACTGTCAAGACATTTTGAATCCCGTGGCCGAGTTCCATCAAAGAAGACAAAAGATGCTTTTTGACAAAACCTTTTCCGGAGAACGTATCCGCTCCAGAAATTGTATTTTTTTTTTCGTGGGGAGTAATGAAAGAAAATGAAGTGACGAGGAAATGTGCCCCAGAAACATGTTTCGAGAATGCGGTAAAATGACCTGACAGATTATAGCTTGGAGGAACTCCACGACGACAACAACAAAAGGGTCATTTGGTACCGGGCCGCACAGAAAGAATACATAACTGACATGATTTCTGTTTTATTCATTTCGGAATCTGAAAGATGTTTTATTTTTAAAAATGACCGGATTCTCTGTTGCATCCGTCGACAGTATGTCACTCTTGACGCAGGTCCAGGTGCGCTTCTCGTTCGCGGTGATCGGTCACCGCTAACATGAAACTAGCAAAATGAGTAAAAAAAAAAAAAAAACAAGCGTCTTTGGAAAGTTTCTTTGGGATGGGGAAAAGGCCCCGCCAGGAGACAGAAGAGGACCATATGACTTTCAAGAATAAGCAGACTACATTGAATAGACAGTATCGGGAGTCCTACTTCAAATACGGATTGACCTCAACGGGAGATTCCCACGCGCCGAGCCCACTCTGCATAATATGCGGCGATGGCGAGTGGTAGATTTCATGCACTTTGTATTTGCCCTGCATCTTATTTTGAAGGCGCGTTTAAACGTTACCTCAGCGACCTGAGTGTTGCGGTCAGATAGGACGTTCCTCGTGTCATGATTCGTGTTTATTATTATGTTTAGAAATTTCATGCAGTTTATGTCATATAATTTTGTTGTATTTAAAGGCCGGTCCCTGAAAATATTGTCTGACATTGTCCGTTGGGCAAAAAATGTTTTGATCTAAATGTTGTCTTTATTTTGCTTCATCGTAAAAATTGTAGACTGTACTCTATATACATATATATGTGTGTGTATGTATATATATATATATATATATATATATATATATATAAAAAACCATACATACGCATAACGTACTACGCAATACCATTTGCTTCTGTAACTCAAAAAAAAAAAATTGTCTCCAGGCACACAACATCAGAAATAAAATGGTTAAAATCACATTGAAACACAGTAAATGCATTTGGGGCAGCTTTTCCCAAATTCAGCGAAGACCAAAGCTCAGTTCGAATCGGAACCGTCCAAATGGAAGCGCTTTGTTCAGCAGCGCGGCGGACGCGTCACGTTTATCCCGGCTGGCCTCTCTGGCAACCGCTGCAGTTCCGCCATGTTTGTTGGAGCTCAACAACAGCACTCGAATGCCGAATGGTGGGAGCTGCTTGTCCTCGGGTCAAGTGCAGGAGAGCTTGCTATTTTCATACCTCCCACTGAGCTCAAACAACCTGCTTTCACTCATCCTGCTTTTCACAACAAAGACATCACAAAACATTCGGGATAACCACGCACACCTTGTTCCCCCCCGACGATAATAATCACACACATACATACATAGATGAAAAAATGCAGAAAAAAATTAGCTTTTCAAAGGATGACAGACACTCCCCTCCAAAACTAGTGGAACAGTCAGGCCAGTTCTTAAGGACACGCATTTAGGTTTGACATTCAACGAGAAGCGGGCGACAAACCATCAACATCATAAGTAGGAC